TATCTATTATCGTCAATGAAAATGGAGGCATCTAATCCTTTCACTTTATATAATAGTATACAGATATTTTATGTATTTTTGAGGATTTTTACATTATAGATATATATTCAATAGAACTCAAATCTTCCCTCTTTGTATCATAGTATTAACTACAGATTTATGTATATGAATTATGATAAGCCGAATTTTCGAATTGTATCTCATCAGAGTAAGAAATCATCTTAGGGCAGCCTTGTCAGTTCAGTCAAGGTCGACCTTGGCAATCATCTCAGCTTCGCCGCATCAGATGACGTTTAAGTAGATTTTACACTATTTTGCCAATCATAGTCGCAGATGATGCCCCGCGGAAAGGTCACAAGTGAACTCGAGCATCTATAGGCAGCTAGTCATTCGATTGACCTTTTCAGCCAATCAGAGGCAATTTCAGCGAGTTTCTTTGAGAAGTTTCAGTATTCGTATTTATTTCATATTTTCTCGATGCTGTATTGCATATTTTATGGCACACTTTACGGCGCCTGCACATAAAAATAATATAATTGGAAAAATTCAGCGCGCACAGCGCAGACATAAAACGAAAATTCAAGACTGCGTAGTAAATGTGAGAGGGAAAATATGAAAAGCGGCTGGCATTAACAGCAAAGTTCATGAACGAAAACAAAAACAGAAGTCAAATGTCAAATAATAATTACCTATCGACTGTGGACGTGGCCATTGTAAAGGCGTTAAATGTGCCCATCATCTATTATTAATTGACAGACATGTTCATCACAATAGATGGACGCGATAGGCGAGTATATGTCATTCATAGGCTCCATTTTTCACGGTGTTTACCTCCTGGCTGGGGCTGGCATCCATTACGCAGTCCTATTCACCTGCCGCACCTGTTTCTTTACCTGCTGTTTACCTGCGTGCTGGTAATTTGTCAAATGTGGATTTGGCCATTCTTTTTCATTTCCTTGACTGGCTGTTGCGTCTCTCTGGCTTGCGAGCATTTCAGAGCGAGAGTGGTTCGAAAGCTTGCCATATCCAAATCAATTCATAAATCTAAATTAAACTTGACATTATATCTGGGCATACCAAACTCCTGATATCCTTTCCCTCAAACAGCTACCCTCTGCAAGGGCGAACTTGTGAAAAGGGTTTGACAGTTATGCAGTTAACATCAGTTTGTGCTAACTCATTTGAGCGGTTCTGCTTTAATACGCGCCAAGGCAAAGCTTTCATCGTGCTAACATGTTTTACATGTTTTGTTTTATGAATGCATAAATTTCTTATTGTGTCCAAAAAAAATAAATACAAAATTTGTTATAATTTGCTTCTGTCATGCTCGGATGTTATTTATTAAATTATGTATAAAGTTTATCTTGCTGTGTTGAAAACAATAGACATACCTAACAATATAATACGTTATATATAATTATACAACTTATTTATTGATTTTTAAAGTATTCACGATGAAATATGAAATATACATAGAAATGTCATATAGTTGGTTAAAATTAGTTTGAGTTTATTCGTTTATGCGTCTTAGTCTAGTATTTTTGAATAAAATAATGAATATTTTTAATTTGTGTTTTTTTAATTTTTTATTTTTTTGTTCGAAATTCATTCAAAATTAAAAAACAATAAGTTATGATATAAAATTTTAGCTCGCAGAATTCCTAATTAAATCTGAATATGCATACAAAATGTAACTGCAGCTGTTGCTAACTGCTCTGACCACCCTCGCGATGCCAGCGCTGCCTGCCGAGCCCTAAGCATTGTGCGTCAGCATCATACCACCTGCTTGGTTGCCGTACAACATGATATTATTTAGCTTTTATACGCATTTAGCGTTATTTTTCTGTGCGAATGCAATAAATTTCCCTTACCATTATCCTTAATATGCTGGCCGTATGTGTGTGTGTGTGTGTGTGCGTATGTGCGAGTGTGTGTAGGCGTGGGTGGGCTTGTTTGCGCACGTGGATCCATCAGAGACTTACCGTAGCAACGTGGGGGCGTTGCCAGGCAGGGCTGCTGCTTCGCCCTCAGCAACTTACGAGCTTACTTTAAAATTGCGTGTCTCGGCAGCTTTGAAATCAGAGCTAGCGCAATCTCGGTTCGACGAAGTAATCCAATTAAAGTGCAAACTCAGGCTTGACACTTGACACAGACTCAATTAAAAAGCGCACTTACAGCCCAGCCAGTGGAGCAAGCTCGGCTAGTTAAAATCCGCTCGCGCTGTTATCGTCTATCCACCTATTGTGGCAATCGCCATTTGTGTTTTTTGTCAGCGCGAAGCCATAAAATGGCGATAAGCAATCAGGCAGATCGACTAAAAATAAAGAAAAGAGGGAAAAATCCGTCTACGTTGGCGAATGCAATTTGCGCATCAGCAGGCGCGAGGGGCGGCTACGGGGGGCGCTGCTGCCTTGTGTAGAGTCGGGCAATTTGATATGTCACATTGACATATCCTCCGCACAGTGTGCCACATTTGCAATTCTCCGCACTGCAGTTGCATATTGCAGCTGTTGTCCTTAGCTCTGCCCCTCGCCGTCCTCACTTCAATTTGCATAAGTGCGATTTGTGTGTTGGTTGAATGTTCTTGCCGTTGTTGTTATTGTTGTGCTGTTGCCTATTCTGCTATCCCTTGCTTTGTCATGAACTTGTAAAAAAAATCAAATTTATTTTTATATTTAATTGCATATTTTCTCTCATTGCGGGAAATTTAAGATCAAAAGTCTTTATTCTTGTTGGCATAAAGAGAACGTTGCTCTGGAGCATAAAGCCAGCAACAAGGGAATTTCGTTAGTTGGCTTAACTGCAAAGTTCACGCAACAATGAAAACTCAATTTGGGGAGAGAAACTTGTTGGGTGAAAGTTCATCGACAAACTATAATAATAATACTAATAACGTTTGAATGCAAATGGAATACTTGTCAGTAAGCCATTTGATAAACATTTAGTTTTTATGAGTTGCGAAAATAAGAATAAACATTTTTAAATTAATAATATAGATTCTTTCAATTATTTATTTTTGTGCTTTATTAGCGTTGAATATTTGTAAACCATCAAATAGAGCAAATTTATATTTAATAGAGGTTAGCTATTGCTCTGCAACTAAACTATTTACAATTCTGCTAGATTATATTATAATGTACATAAAGAAAATATAAATGTTGTTGAAAAATAATGTATTCCCTTTATATTTTCGTAATATTTGTATAACCTGTATGTAATAATATAAGCAACTTATATACCTTAGTAAACTCAGAACAGAGAAAATGCTTGGCATAGAATAAAAAGAAATTCAGACTAATAAGAGTTCTCTAAGAGCTACTCTATCCTGTTGCTGCAGTTTAATGTATTGTTACTTTCAATACATACAGATTCTGTATTACAGACATGCATATAGACAGATAGGCTGCAATAGAGATAGATGCAACCCCTCCCCTTGTTCCGGGCTATATATATAAAATGTAAATGGGCTGGAATATGCCTCCTTCTGCTTGTTAAATGCATTCGCAGGGACTTGAATTCAGAGCTGTATCGAGCTGCAGACAGCAAACACAAAGGAATAGGAATAATTAGTTATTTCTTTGTTTACTATGTATATGCATTAGTTATTCAGATTCAGGTCAATAGAATTAGCAGTCAACCTATTTTCAGCAAAGTAGGAATTAAAACTGTAGTTTTTACTGAGTTAACAGGAATAATAAATAAAATGGTGAATAAACTTCAAAATTAAAATATATTAAATCTTTCTTCAGCAAACTTCATGCTGAATAAACATTCAGTTCTTGACTAGGTGAAGCTGACTTATTTGATTTGCAGATTTGCTTATACTAACTTAATTAAATGCAAAAATGAGAATATATTTTAAATTTCTTTAACTTCTTGGCCTTAAAGGATTCTTTAGCTTAATATGAAATTATTGCTGTCTAAATTCCTAGCCTGCGTGTTTGCATGTGTGCGTGTAATTCAATGTGCAGAGTCCTGCGGCAGGACTTATTTTTCTGCAGAATGGCAACTGCGCCAAACTTTTATAATTAAAACTTTTCTCTGCAATTCGACTGAAAAAAGAGAATAAAAAAAAAACGAACGAAAAACCACATCAATATGAATCGCTCAACGCATATAGCGTGAAATATTCTCTCAACATGGACTGACAAATATTGCATATGATGAAAGCTCAAAAGCTCCATCAAAAATAATTCTCTAAGGTCCTCAGACCACAAAATGTCGAGTAGGAATAAAATAAGGATTGGAATTTCATTGTCTTCAGGGATATACATAGAACTCATTATGAACAATAAAATGAACATAATATTATTTAATTTAATTTGATTTAAAAATTACAACTTTTGTACAATATTTATTTAAAAGTTTTTATATAGACGTAAATTTATATTATAGGTGTATAGTTACTATTATTATTTTTGATCAAGTTAATTGAAAAACATCTACAAATATTCTGTATAATTTTTTTGTTGTTTTTAATGTTTTTTAATTAAAAAATTTTAGTAAATTAAAAATTAATTAATATTAAAAACTTTAAATAGTGATTGCTTAAATTTCAAAAGTATATTATTATTTAAAATGATTAATCAAAATTATATATAGAGGTTTATTTTTGCAGTATCAATGCTGAGTCTGAAGTCAGTTTGAAATTCGTTATTCTATATTCTTAGGGGCAGAGTCTAAAGGTCTGCTTTAATATAATTAAATTCATGACATGCCTGGATGGCGCTGCCCAGCTCTCTGGCTTTAAGTATGCCACTTATCAGACTCTGGGCAGTATTATGCGAATGCTGTATAGTCCTAGGCGGGCCATAAATAAACACTGTTGCCGCCTGTCAGGCGAACAAAATTGCGTAAAAGCATCGCGCCCCCCAAAACGCATAAATCACATCAAAAAGTGGCAGTGGAGGCAGCCACTTGGCCACTTGGCTAAGATGGCGAATGCTAATGATAGTTATAGGGCTTATCAGCAACAGAGCTGCAAAGCTGCAAAGCTGCGCAGCTGCAAGAGATAAGCCCCGACTTGAACTCTGTTGGCTAATTGAGCACGACATGGCATATTCGTGTAGAATATATGCATTTAATATTTCCATTTATTGTATGTCATCCATAGGTGCTGCACGAAGCGTAACTCAATAAATATTGCAATGAAATGAAATTAACTTGCGTCAATTTATGGTCACTTTTTGTTCGTATGCATTGAGTCCTTGTCGCTTCGCTGAGCTCCTTCCCCGTGGATCCCATGTGTATGTGTGTGTGTGTGTCTATATATCCATTGTAATTGCAATGCTTCTCCTTGTCACTGCATCCCCTTGCCCTGTCAATGCGTCCATAGAGTACAATGAAAAGGAATGCCAGCTAGCCTGTAATATTCCGTTGCTTGTCAATTTTTATTGCATATGCTTTAGCCTTCACTGGTCTAACGTGTCCTTATCATCATAATCATCATCATCAGGCTCGTCATCATCAATACTTAGCATGCGATACGCTTGTGGCGTGGCAAAACGGCAATTCGACAATTCTTTCCCTTTGTATTGCCGCTGGCAAAGCATTCAATACCTTCGCTTTGGCATTGCATGTTACCCAGAATCGAATCAAATCGCAACGAATTGAATTGAATTGAATCGAGTTCCATCCATCGCCCTACATGGTTTGTGCTTGTGCTGCTTGAATAGATAGAATTGAAGCGTCGCTCTGCGGCATTGATGAATCTGAGTCAAGTGATTTCGTTTAGTGAGTTCAGCCAAAGAGTAAAATGCAATCTGTTTAGATTAATTTGAATTTTATATTTTTAAAAATTAAATATTCGTTTTTATGTTTCAAGTTCCTGTATTCAGATCTTGTAAGGCTTCAGAGTGCCTCGCGCACATACAAGAACTTAACTTGAACATTGTTTTAACAAGGTGAAACCAAAATTCGAAAAAAAATATATATATAGATTGGTCATTTTAAATATAAGAACAGAAAAATTTAAGTAACTAAACAAAATAGACCAACGTCGATTACTTGGATATGTAGGGATCTATGCCAGGAATACGATTTTAATACCAGAGCCACGTTCACGCTAAAAAAGACGGAGAGAGAGAGGGAGATAGAACACGTTGCCACAGAAAATGGCCAATTGGCAAGTTTTCCAGAGACCCTTGCCATTGTTCACATATACTCACAATGTAATACTCGAATGGAGCTCGGCACAGTGGACAGACCTTGGTAGGACAAACATCGTAGACTTTCTTGAGACAGCGCTTGCAAAATGTATGCTTGCATGGAGTGCTCACAATGCGATGCTTGCGGCAGAGGCAGATAGCACAATAGTCTTCAGTAGCGTCCATTTGTGGTTTTTCCTTTTGTTGTTCGGTTTTAGTTAATTTTTTATGAATGTTTGTTTTTCGGATGATTATGAATGTGCGACCAAAAAAAAAACGAGTCAATCGTAAGTCATGTGAAGTTTAATGCAAAGGCAATGCTTTTTACAATTTTTTGTTTTCTTCTTTTCATCTGTCATTTTACTCTCTCGTTTTTCATGTTGTGTGTATTAGATGATTACATGAGCTTTCATTTTATTTATGACAGCGACCATATGAGCCATAAAACAAAGAATCTACAATAAATCGCAAACCTTTTGGCGCAGCAAAAAAAAATAATAATAATAAGACTAGAAAGGAAGAGAAAATATCGTACAGGGTGTCTGAGTGTGAGCTGAGGATGGACAATCTGAGTGCTATTACTTATTATATTATATTAATGTTGTATATATGATATTATTATAATATTATATAGCCTTAACTAATACAGTGTTTATTCAGCTCCGATTCATTGCTTCCTGTGCCCTGGAACACCCTGTAGCTGAGTGCGTGCTTGTGTGAAGTGGGCTTTGCGAAGTAGGCTTTGCCAAGCTGATGCGCGCCTGCTCATTGATTAAGATGCTATAGAATAGATAGAATATATATATTATCGAGTCTGCTTATGAGCAGCCAAGCAATAAGCGTCGTCAATTTACAGCCAATATTGATTATCGTGCAGGAATCCTGTTGACTAACTTATGCTCATGCCATTTCTGTTCTGTTTTCTTATTTCTAGCGGCTGGCTGGGCAGCGCCAAGGGCTGGTTGGGCAACGCTTCGATACCGTCGATGCCGGCCATGGCCATGCCGTCGATGCCATCGATGCCAGCGATGCCATCGATACCATCGATTCCTGGACTACGCAAGAGCGGCGCCGCCGACGGAGCAGAGGGCGGCGAGGGCGCTGCAGATGCCGCGGCTGCGGGTACTGTGAGTGGCGGCGATGATGACGACAAGTCGAGGTATATTAGGTATGGGCCCATGCTTAAGAATGACGGAATTATATGCGATACAAACAGCGGCAGTAAAGCGAAAATCATATATAAAAGCGCGTTTGTTACTTAGTTTTCTTTTATCCTATATATACAAGTTGTTTTTTTTTTTCTTTCTTTTTTCCAAGTTTTTTTTTATTTGTTGCTTAAGTTCTTGTGCACCTTTTTGAAACGATTGGCGCACCTTTTGTTGGAATTTTACTCACTTGACGGCTATTGTTCGTCGGAATATTCTTTTTTCTGTTTTGTTTCATCCTGAGGAATGAATGAAGACGAAACTTTGAATTTTGAAACGAAACCAAAATTAATTATACAGCTCCCGCCCAAGCCTTTGCGCTGATACGCCCACTAAAGTGGCAACACAATAAGATACAACTAATAATAACATATTTATATATATACATTTTAAACACCAATTACCCTAAATATGCCCTATGACTACTGTCATTTAGTTTTGCCTTTCACTATTCACCAATTTTTCTTCTACAATAATTTAGCTAAAAAAGTTAATAAGAAAACAAAACAAAATACTTTTATTCACTTTAAAACAGATTATATCGTTTTTTGTTCCAACTTTTGCTCAATTTCTTTTATTCAAAACTCTTCTGCTAAATTTAGTTTGACTCTTAAAACTTTGCCTTTATACTGTACAGACAATTACATACTATATAACTCTTTCAAACGTTTTTGTATGTATACCAAATATCCAATATGGAATTTACATATAACCAACAAAGTGTCTATCAAACTGAATTTTGTCCCTTTACAAAATGTGAATTAGTTTTTCTCATTTTTATCAATCAATCGATTAAGGTAAGTTTTTTATTATACTCGACATTTTGTAAGGGGACACAATTATGGATAAAGGCAGTACAATAATATAATTTAAAAGACTGCAACATAAATAACGAATTCCATAAAACTCATAATCAAGTTTTATAATCATTTAATTTTGGATTCATACTGTAAGAAGACACGCCCCATACAACATTAACCAAATACCATCATTAGTTGATTTCACACTTTGATTCATTTCACATTTTCATTTCGTAACGCGTTATTTTAAAGATTCAATCAATATGTTTTATTATATATGGCGATTAGTACAGAAAGAAATGTTCAAGTATCAGATTCCATCATTATTGAGCGGCCCATCAAACCACCTCAAGGATTTAAGCAAAACTCACACCAATTAATCTGGACATGTCCTTGTGGCTACGCAGTAGATAAAACTAACTAAAAACTAATTGTTGTTAATAGTTGTTATCATTTGATTTGATATTAGTTTACAATGTTTTTTATTCCATCCTAATTTCTCAATGTCGATGTGTAGCTCATCCTGTTTCAGTAATCATTTTCACTATGTTTTCACTATATGTTTCTCATCTGATCTTAAATGTATGTAGCGACTAAATCATTTTCTTCAGCTCTGCGGCTCTGCAGCTTCTTCCAAATACACTCTCTAATTATGCTAGAGTTCTTTCTAATTGACCTTAAAGTCACAAAACGAACAACGGGAAACTCAAGAAATTAAACCGAACTCTCTGTTAGTGCATGTCTTAGTGTCCTCTGTCTCTCTCTCTATATATATGTCTCTTTTTGGTCTCCTGAGTTCAGTTTCATGCATTTCTTGCATCAATTGATTTGGTTTTCATTCCTACTTTCGGTTTGCATCAATCATTCGACATTCATTTAAACTATCTTCTCACATTGCATTCGCCTCGCAATCTTCATAAAAAATTTAAATATGAATTGTCCTTAACTGAAACTAAAATCAAACGTGTAAATATACATAAACGTGATGTGATTATGGAAACAAATAGTAATTGTCGCAGGCTCACACAATCATAGACTAAATTAATATACGTCATAGAGTTAGTGTTAAATATAGCTTTGAATGCAATTAGACAATTACGCTGATTGCTTTCAATTTACATAATTAAGAGGTAGCCGTTAGTATCGCGCGGATAAATTTATCTCCTATCTGCCCATCCTCATTGCCCCATCAACGCAATTTACAAATTGAATGAATTTCGGGCAACGCATTATCAATTAGTCGCCATTCACACACAAATCCTGACCAACCTGATTGAAAGTCAGGTAAGGTTGTTCTCGCTGGGAGTACCCAACTAAGAGATACCCTGAATAAAATGTCTCTAAATAATTAAATATTCAGCGGCTCTGCTTAGAATTCTCTTAGCACTTACGAAAAGATTACCCCATTCATTAATAATAATAGCTATAGATTATAACAAAAAGTCGGACAAAATGCCTCTGAATAATGAAATGGCTCTGTTTATAATAGGACACTCTGAGCAGTAAAGCTCTATACACCGTTCACAAAAGCTGCTGGGTATAATAATGAATTGTCAGCGCAAATTTAACGCAATTGTCCCCTTGGTTGCATCCTCAAATGAACTTGACTAATTAGCAGTAATTAATTAAAATATTATTAATTAAAATAATGAAAATATGATTTAGAATTGATTAATTTAGTCTATGATAAGGTTTAGTTACTCTCTCTAGTTACAAGCTCCCAACTTAATTTGCACGCCTTTTAAGTTTATAATATTATTTGCCTTACGAAATCCAATTGGACAATGTCTAATTTGATTTTCTTATTTGGCATGTCGCATGCTGCACGAGTTCAACTGCAATAACCACACGAGATAAACTGTATATAGATATAGATACAATACTTCTATATAAATGTACCCAAATTTCACAAACATAAATCTGACGCAAGCTTATTTTCTATCTCTCTCTCTCTCCCTTTCTGTTTTCTCTTTCTATCTCTTTGTGTTGCACGCTGACGCAATTTCTAATTACAGCGCTACAGAGGGTGCTGATTCGCATCCAGCATCGGGCGGCGGCACGCCCACTGGCGACGAGGGTCAAATTGGACAGGGTAAGGGCGATGAATTGAAAAGTACGTGTCACAGTTTGATTGGTAACAAAAACATCAATACTGATAAAAAGTCAAATGAAAGTCAACTTGAAAACAAGCAAAAAGTGAACTTCAATTGCAATTTGCCAAATCGAAATGCGAACTAAATTTATAGAAAGCGGTGACAGGTTACTAACTAGCTAACAATACAACCCGTAGTTGATACGCTCCAAATACTTCTAGCACCCACCTATTTATACACCCCTAGCTGATAATATTCCGATCTCCCAATACTGTTTAGTTTGTAGCCTAGCGATTTTGGTTGACTGCATTAATTAGTTGGCATCACTTTTACTTCAACTTTACTTCATTCGCATCATAATCAATGAACTAATCGAACCGATTATCGCTTCCACAGTTACCACGAAAGTAACACAGCAGGCCAAGCACTTTGGCTCCTTCTTGTCATCGGCCATCAGCAAGGCTGGCAGCAAGATCAAGGAGACGGTCAAGGATAATGTGAGTAAAAATGCGTGAAATACTAGCCGCATATTCTATATGATATTTTTGTGGTTCTTCCGATTTCGCTCATTTAGACCATACTCGAGTCGTTCAACAAGGAGCAGGAGGCATTCATTAAGGGCCAGGGCGGTGCCGGCAACGGTGCTGCCCCCTGGATCGGCCATGCCAACGAGGCAAAGATCAAGGAGGAAATCTTGGGCTTGTCACAGGATCGTCGCAACTTTGTGCGCGCACCGCCAGCCGGCGTTGACTTTGATTTTAGCTATGACACTGCATATCCTACTGCCATAGCCATTATGGCCGAGGACAAGGCGCTCGAAACGATGCGCTTCGAGTTGGTGCCCAAGATGTAAGTGCGCGCGGCCATGATCCACGCTAATCCTAAAGATTCACACCCATATATCCTTGCACAGCATCACTGAGGAGAACTTCTGGCGGAATTACTTCTATCGAGTCTCGCTAATCATTCAGGCCGCCGAGCTGGGCACTTTGGGCGCCGATGGCGTAGGCCAGGCTTCCAGCGGTGAAGATGGTAAGTTCATCATGGTTTATTGCCCATCAGCTATCACACCAAAGACCAAAGAACAGATCACAATCAAGCGCTTGCACCGAAGCGATAAACATGCGCAAGTTTTTGATTTTCTTGCGCTTTCCTCTTCAGTAACTTTCTCTACCAAACTCTCTTTCTCTCACCTACACACACATACAAACACTCGCTATTCGCGCGCTCTGTGAATTAAATCTGTCAATCTTCTATTATACTGTCTCCGCTATCTCTATATCTCTCTCTCTAACTCTCTCTCTCTTTGTCTGTCTAAGTCTATGTTTCCACTTATGATTTAGTAAACGTTTCTTTTCACACACGCGCCTGTTCTATTTTCATTTCGAATTAGCTCTCGTTTTAACTTTTGGCTAGTATCTGTACTACACACCGCCTATATAGTATGCTATCTGAACCTTAAGTTTCAGTTCTGTTCAATTGATTTTGATATCGTTTCGGTTCGGTTATAATTTGTAATTGTCCTTCAACTGCACCGGCCCGTCTGTCGCCTGTGCTAAGGATTCGATTTCGTTACTCATTTTCACCGATTCACCTCGTCGTGCGCTCAGCTCCCAAGATCAATAATCAAGTATTAAATATCAAGTATCAAACCAACTCAGTTTTACTCTCGTTCTTTCCTGATTTTTCTTCATTTTTTATTAGCTATAAATTTATTTATATTTTTATTTTATTTTTTATTTTCATGTATATTTTTTGGTTCTTTTAAATACAAAATTACAAACCAAATCAATCAAACTCAACTGTAATGAATTGATATGCTCAAAAGCAGCTAACCAATTGCCAGATAAACAAAATATTAATCCCACTGTTAGCCCTGTCAAGACTACGACAGGCGGCGACAGCCCCACAGCGATAGCCGCTGTCTCTGAGCAACCGAAGCCTGTCATTGATTTGAAGGCCGCCGAAGAGCTTGAGCATGATTTGACCCAAAAAATCTCCGAGTCCGAGTTCGTTTCGGACGAATTCCAAACATCAAATGATACCGATTTGGCCGAAATCCAAGACGGCATGCGCAAGCTGGGCATCGATAGCCTGACCCAACAGGCGCTCGCCAGCACCGATGGTAAGAGGTCTTAGCTTGCCATAGCTATCTATGATTTGATTAAGTTCCGTTCTAATTATTATTGGGTAACATTTTACTATTTGGTTGTACATAAGAATTTGTGACTTTAATCATTATCTCGAAGATGTCACAAGTTTTGTATATTGTATTGGAGAATTACTTGCGAAGACTGACAATAACTGTAAAGTTCTATAACATTTAGTTTTTGACAATTTGACAATAGATAAAAAAATTAGTTGTATTATTGCTAAACGTTAGCTGCTTGGAAAAGGCATAAAATGAATTGAAAAATGTTTTATCAAGTCCCTAATTATATTAAATAATAAAATAATAAATTTAAATGAATTTTTTTTAATATTCAAGCAAATTAAATTTCAATTTACTTATAATTTATTGCGATTATTTAATTTAAACATTTTGTACATACATTTTCTGTTTTGTTTTTCTTTATGCAACGCCCTTGGAGTTTGTCCTTGCATAAATTTCATTGGCTGCCGCATAAATATACATACACACATATATACATACATGCATATATACATACACATGCATACACAGTAAAGGAGGCAACGCCTAGCGCTTCAAATCGTGGCATTTCTCATAGCTCATACAATTTTATAGTTATAGATGGCAACACAAGAGACGCAACGGCTGAAGGAAATGTTTGTAGTTTATGAATTTCGAATAGCACATCCATACATTCACATTCAACTGAGCTTCAAGTGCAATGTTCTGATAATTAAATTCAATTGATTAACGAGCCGAACTTTCCATGTCCGTAACTCCATATTTGACTCATGTCTCTAGTCTATCATGCCCCATTGCGTCGTGTCATAACTATACTATATAATAWATATATATTTCCGATTTCTTTCGTTTTATTTCGGTTTTCTTTTGCCTTTTGCCCTTGCCACATTTGAACTGTTTGGCTGTACGAACTTTAATTATCATTTAATCATACATAAACTAACTTTAATCAAATAGAAATTTTTACGAGAACACAAAAACAAATTTCAACTCTTAACAAACAAACAAACCAAGAAATGTGTGTACAAAACAAAGTGTAAAAACCAAACAATTCTCTTTTTTCTCCTCTGCTCTGTTTCTTTCTTTTGTATGAATTCAATTATTGTCAAATCGTTTTCTTTATTGTCGAAATACTAACTAACAACAATCCAAAGCTCTGGCATTTAATTATTAAATCAATAAATAATAAATATCAATTGAAATGAAAGCAACAACAACAATAAAAACATAAAACAAAAAAAAAAAAGAATATGGAAAACCTATGGCATCTTATGGATAATAAAGTATTATAAATAATATATAGATCAACATATATATACGTACATATATAAATGATAAAAAACATATATAACACAAGAGACAACTCAAGTCTAGTCTAATCTGTTGTTGCCATTCCTTTCTAACTAGCATACAAAATACTAAACAAATCAAATTCAATAATTGCCCACTTTAAGTACCTATGATCAATATAAATATATATATTCATAACAACTAACAAGATATTAATAAAATATGAACTAGCCACAAATCAATTTCGAACAAGTTGAGTATGACCAAAATGATACAGATTCTTATTATTGAAATACTCTTTGCAATCTTGTGCTTTTTATTCAATTGCAAATTCATTAAATTTCCTAAAATTTCGCTATTTCAAATTTGTTTATGATTATCAATTTTGTTATTTATAGTTATTTTATCTCAACATATTCTTTCCAAATATTTCGGCCAAATTTCGTATAAAAAAAAATTACAAACAAAATTTGATGTCAAAATTAAATCGCGTTTCCCTCTCTGACACAAAAACACCTCCCACACACACAGAACACATCGAAAGATCTATAAAAAGCTATGCAAATTCTTAGTACTTAACACACAATATGAATTATGTATTGAAAACATTTAACAAGCATTTATTTTTCTTCATGTATTTCTTAATTTGTTCTCAAATCATCTTGCAGAAGATTGAATGGATAAACGCTAAATTCAAAAACTAAAAATAAAATATATAAACAAACCAAAACAACAACAAACAAAATTGTCCACATAACGGCAAACAAAAAAAAAAAACAAAACAAATACAAAAACAAATAAAAAAAAAACAGATGGTTAAACGATTTACAAAAAAAAAAAAAAACGAAAACAGCAAACCAAATTATATACATATATAAAATATTCACTTGACAAACATTAAAAAAAAACATATTATTTATATAAACCAAAAGAAAGAAAACCAAAAATGTTACTTAAAAACTGAAACAAAATTTTGTGTGGTAAGTTAGAAATTGTTGATTGAAAAAAATTAAATTTTCACTTATATTAAAAAAAAAAAATTAAAAACAAAAACGAAAAAAAAAATACAAAATTTGTGAATATTTTGTTGTTGATTTTCAATTGCATACAAATTATGTTCCACAAAATAGTTGCCACAAATTCCAAGTTTATTTCTCTTATCGCTGTTGTCAATGTGTGTCCCATACGTATAAGTACAATAATCTTATCTGTCGATGTGTTTGTTGTTATTCGTGTTCAGTTAAGTTTTCAACCAATTTTACTTTTTCTTTTTATTTAACAACAAAAAAATGTATGAACGTTGCAGCCGGACGTTACCGATTGCAGAATGCTCATTCACGGCCCAAACGCTAACAGATCCATTTTCCGATTTGCCACGCCTCTAATTGGTATATGTATATAGAGTATGTCAACAGTAATTTAGTTGTTGCATTGTGAGTTTCTAGATCTGAAAGTGTAAAAGATACTGTTTATCACGGTATGTCACGCCATCAATGGGCGTCATAGAAAATTCAAGGCTTATTTCAACTCTCTGCAGCTTCACTTGGGATACCAGTGCATTTTCCGCTTAACCACGCTCCTATTCGAAGATTCGCCAATATTTTGACAATTTATAATTATAAGGGTATATACGAGTATGCTCCATATTTCAAATCTCTAGCTTCAAAGGCGGCAAAATGGTTTGCATTCGTACAGATAGACGGACAATACACAAAACCAATATACCCATTTCACTTTCGTGAATGAGTATAAAATGAAAAAAATTACTAGAATTATTGTATTTTTGTAGTTGTTGTTTTATTTTCTTTGAGTAAATGCAAATTTGATAAATGTAGCTTACATCATTATATATAGAACAAACCCTTTAAAATACAACAGAAATTCTACCCAAAATTTGTGAAGCTTTTTAACTGCACAAAAGAAAAGAAACAAAAAATTGAAAGAAACATGTTTTTGAATCCAATTTAAAATATACTTTCTTTCGTGTTTGCCATATAACCAACTCACCACACAAAATCCAAAGAAAGTTTTTTTTTCAAAAACAAAAAATCAACAAAAACCACAAAAACACCTTTTCCCAGTAACGTAAGTCAGTCCATGTTCCAACACATTTTCAATTTTAATTGTTGTTCAGAAATCGAATTTATTTACTTTGCAGTATTTTCGAATAGCTTTTAGTTAGTTTTTATATATTTGGCGTGCTTTGTATAAGTAAATATATATGAACGGAAATAAAATCCAAATATTTAGCTTGCTTTTGATTTCGATGTTAAATATGCTGTAAATACACATGACAGATTTTAATTTAATATTATTCAACATTTTTACTTACATAAATRTATATCTATATAAATGTTTATATATACATATATACGTTATATACTTTGTGTCATCTTTGGCACCTGATTTGGTATCCGGACAACAACAAGCAAGTCATGGCACAGGACCCTTTTCCCTCCTCGCTTTTCTTCCTGGTGCGTGGGCAGATTGCACGCTATTCGTTAATTAGCCAGGTTATGGGCATATACAAGTTAGCTAATCAAAAACCAAAAACAGCAATTAATTACATTGGCCTCATTATTATATTAAAAGAACATTTTCCACCTTTTGTAGACGATTACTTTTCAGTTACGGTGCGCATACCTAAACGAATAACAGTCTGTGAAAACTTCCTATGCCCCCTTAGTTATATGCCACGCGATTAGCTGCAAAGGTAAAAATATATAAAACGGGAAAAAGAAAAGAAAAACATGTACTTGCTTGGAGGGTCGATCTAAATTAAACAAACTTCAATGCTTGCCTAGACACATTTATAATAAATAATATTCAATATAATGTATGCCATAAGTATGCCAAGACAACCTATATATTTAATATGAACTGATGTGTCTATAAGCCACACACAAACTAATCGACAGTTTGATGCATTTTTCTTAGAGGAACAATGGGAGAAGGACTTGGAGGCTGAGCTCAAGGACTACGAGGTTGTCGACGAAGGGGGCACTGGCGCTGGCGGCGGCGGCGGCAAACAAAAGCGAACAAATGATGGAGACGAGGATGAGGATGACGCACCGACAATATCCAATTTGCGCACACGTTCAACTAACAACGACTGGGAGGAGTATGCCGACTTAATTGAGGATACCGATGATTTAAAGTAATTAAGAGCTTATATCGTAGTTTCTTCTAAGTTGGCTCTAAGTTTATAACTTAACGTTTCTTTCCATTCCTTTCTATTCCTTGTTTCTTTTATTAACAAACCTTAATTACTTGTTTTCGAACCACTACTCTCTGTTTATTGTTACGTAAACCCATGAAAAACCAAACACCCTAACCCCAAACCGATCCGCAACCAATTTATGCCGCATCAACAGAACATTGAAGTGCCTAAAACGCACCATGTTGGGCTATCTATGAGACGAGGCATTCTTTACGCTCATCTAATTTTGGCGTAAAAAGTTCGTTAACATACGACGATTAAATGTAAATAGAATTTGCCTCGGATCCTATTGGAAAAGTTGGTTGAGATCTGGCCATTGGCCGTGCGCAAAAATGCAAACATTTTATTCAGTTGCCTTTTAAAGATGATATAAGACACTAAACTCGAACAATTCAATTATGTTACAATTTATAATCCACATTGCTAAATTCAAACTAAAATCCAAATACGACGTATTCTCCTTATCGTTTTGTCACATTGGTTGACGAGTCGGGGACTTTCGCCAATTGTTCAGCACACGAAAATGGCAAACAGTTAACTATAACATATACATACACAGAAATTTCCACATGAATCTGTTTAAACTAGAATATGAAACAAGACAAAACAACATGAAAATGAAAACAAATAAACAAATCGAAGCAACAAAACGGCATTAGTATAAATCGTATTAAAATATAGTAATGAATGCATAAAGAAGCTTCAATGCGAAACATTTTGTTATTTATATTTATAAATA